TATGGGAGAGATATTGTCTCCTTTTATTATGTAGTTGCCAGGAAAAAAAAAAAGAAAAAAGAGTAGACTTTTAGCAGGGATTTTTGCATAAACAATTGCAGTTAAGAATTGTCCTTTTTGAAAAGGAAAACTTCTATGCAATAAGCACATAGAACAAAATTAATAGAGGGGCTGGAGAGTTGGCCCAGTGGTTAAGAGCACTGGCTATGCTTACAGAGGACCTGAGTTCAATTCCCAGCACCCAAGTGGAGGCTAATAACCATCTGTAAATTTAGTTTCAGGGAATTCATCGCCCTCTTCTGGCCTCTGCAGTCATCACATGACATAGGTGCACTTACCTGCAGTCAAAACATTCATCTACATAAAATAAAAATAAATTTTAAGAAAAAAAATTAGTATAGTCAACCTTAAAAAGTAACTCATGTTTCTCTGGACACGTCTCTTGATTATCCATAGGTAGCCACCTTACAGCAGACAATTACCTTACTGCAAAAGGATAAAGAGTACCTCAGTCGTCAAAACATGGAGCTTAGTGTGCGCTGTGCCCATGAAGAGGATCGCCTTGAAAGACTTCAAGTGCAACTTGAAGAGACCAAAAAGGCTAGAGAAGAGATGTATGAGAAATATGTATCATCCAGGCAAGATTTAAATTATTTTCCTCATAATAGATAATGTTAGCACTTTTAGGGGAATGAGAACTCCTGACTCGTTTGATTTGGGGGAATATGAATGATTTATTTTAAGCTTTATAAGATGACATTGAAATAATACTCTTTATTTTGTCTTCTTTCAAAGTATTATTTTCTAGTTTGTTTTTTAAGAGATATTATAGATTCCTAAAAACAACAAAGGCCTCCTTTAGTTTCTTTTTATTAAAAAGTTTCTAACTGATATGTATTTATTTTATACGCAATTATGGATTCATTATGTGTATGTCATGTACTATGTTCATATTCACCACTCCATTACTTTCCTGTCTCTCCTCCCACTCATTGCCTTCCTCCCCCCAAAATACCGTATTTTTGCTTTTATCCCTTATTTAAGTGTTTTTCAAATCTAGATTCTACATATGAAAGAATATACGAAAGTTTTCTTTTTTAATCTGGCTTTTTTCACTTAACATGATGATCTATTTTACTGTAAACAGCATCATTTCATTCTTTCTTACTCTTTATAAATAAAACACAACACATTTTATTTTTTAATTTCTTATCTGTGTGTATGATGTATATGTGACTATAGACACACATTGTCGTGGGGCATGTGTTAGAGGTTAGAGGACAACTTTTGAGAACTGATTCTCTCCCACCATGGGATCTGGAGGCCCATGCCATCAAGCTTGCATAGCAAGTACTTGTACCTGCTAAACAATTTCACTGGCCCATCACATTTTTTCTATCCATTCATCTGTTAATGTATATCTAGGCACATTCCATATCTTGGTGTAGTGAATAGCCAAATAACCAAAACAACCATGGATGTGCGGGTGTCTTTGTATGCTGACTTAGAGAATGGTATAGCTGGTTTGTATGGTAGTTTTCAGTTTGTTGAGGAACCCTATATTGAATTCCATAGTGGCTGCACTCATTTATGTTCCCATAGCAGTGTATAAGGGTTCCTTGTCCATTCTGTCCCAATCTTTGAGAGCATGTGTTGTTCCGACCAGAGTAAGGTAGAATCTTACTACAGTTTTGATTTACATTCCATGATGGTCTGAGATATTGACCATTTTTCCATATATTTATTGACCATTTGTACTTCTTCTTAAAACTGTTCAATACATTTAATGATTGAATTTTTGCTGCTTACCTTACGCAGTTCTTAATAGATTCTGGATATTAATTCCCTGTTAGATGTTTAGCTGACAAAGCTTGTCTCCCATTTTATATGCTTTTCCACTATTAATTGTTGCTTCGTGGTACAGGAGCCTTTTAATTTCCTGTAATACTGTTTTTCAATACTTTTAGTAGCCTGGGCTTTTGAAGTTCTTTCAGAAACTCATTGCCTATCCCAATATTTTGAAGCATTTCCCCCATATTTTCCTGTAGCAATTTTAATGTTTCGGGTCTACATTAAAGTCCATATCCGTCTTCAATTGATTTTTCTATTTTTTTAACTTTTACAAAAACTTTGAGAATTTCATACATGCATATAAGATGTTTTGATCAAATCCATGCCCACTCCTTCCCTTCCAACACCTCTTACCCTAAAATCTTTTAGGGGTTAGATAAGAGCTCCCAAATACTTTTGACATTTTTGGCCTTTGGAACAGAGTATGCTGTTAACAGTCCCAAGGACATTTTCACTTTTAGCCAAGAATCTGGCTACTTTTCTTTGGGGTCTTTTTACCCTAACTACCTAGCCAATTCCTACCTCCTATTTTTATCACACCACCCTCTGAAGAGTTTACCCAAATTGCCAATAGGGAATCGGGACGCAGACTGCTCTGGCTTCTTCATGCTGAACAGGGATGCAGGGTGAGGCAATTGGAGTACCCCTTCAGTGGATCTATCTTAAACACAACCAAATTGCATAACTCCTATCTCAAGGAGGAAAAGAAAGTCTTTGAACCCTGAATAGGAGATGTGAAGAAGTAAAGGCAGGAGTAATTAGCATTACAAGTTCTAGTCAGGGAACTAGAAAAAAGTCAGAACAGGGCAATTTTCAAATGTTCATATGAGAGTCCATTGGAATTTCTTAACAAGGGCTTCCAAAAGCATCCTTCTATTGGGTTCCTCCTCGTTTTCTTTTGTCTTCCAAGGCTGGACTCTAGAGTGATGGATTCAAGATTTGCTTTCATGTATTTTGGTAGCTGTCTAGAACAATAGCTGGTTGTCTCCCTTAGCTACAGGTGGGTACTACAGTATTGGAGACCAAGATTTGAAGTCTTACATCTGAGCAGCACTTTCTGGTTAGGAATAAAATCATCAATGAGAAATAATTGTCTGAATAACTTTTTATATAGACATAAGCCTAATGTCTGGGAAGTGTAATCTCTTGAACTCTCAAAGAAGTGTACTGATGACTTTACTCTTTGGTTATACTTTCCTTTTGGGGTGTTTAAGACCATACAGTTGGCCCAAATAAATCAATTTATTTTTACACTTAAGATCATTTGAGGATCTGTTCCTCAGGGGTCACATATTGTGAAATAAGAATCTAGTTTCATTCTTTTACATAAGCAAATCTAGTTTTTCTAGCAACATTTGTTGAAGAGAAAAGCCTGTCATTTTTAGGTGTAGACATGTATGTGAACATTTTCTTTTAAATTTTTATTTATTCATTATTGTATGTATGTGCGTGATGTATTGGGCACAGGGGTGGAGGTGTATGTGTAAGTCAGAGAGTGACTTTCAAGAATGAGTTCTCTTCTTTCACCATGCATTCCAAGGATCAAACTCAGGTCACCAGGGCTACATGAAAAGCACCATTACCAGCTAACCCACCTTGCCAGCCTATAACTTACTCATTTTGAACATTATTTTTAAATTTTCTATTGCAGGGTTGAGTATTTCTTAACATGCACAGAGCCCTGTTCAGTCCCAAGAACTAGAAAAAAAAAATTTTTTTAAAGTCCTATAATCCTATGACTAAGATTTCTTGTGTTTTTTTTCAAAGAAAATATGTAACTGTGTCTATAGAAATATTTTGAAAGAAATCTTAAAATACTGACAGTTTTTTTTACCATGAACTGTGAAAGAAGAATGAGAAGGCTCTTACTACATGGTGTATTAAGCTGCAGATCTTTTGATCAGACTGCCTGCATTTCAGTTCTACCTTCTCTTTTGTACTAGATGTGTTTAAGCAAGAGCTTTTCTTTATACTAATAACCTTTATAATCACTGAGATATATTTATCAGCATGTCAAAAACTAGAAAACATTGAAATTTTGCCTTAAGATGTTCACACCTTCATGACTTTCCCTCATTTCCTTTTATCAGTTTGTGCTAACCAACTATTAATACCTTGTTTACTACTTCAACTTTACTTATTTAAGAAAAAAAAAATCATAGTGTGGCTCTGTTTGTTGTGCTCAGAAAGAAATGTTTTATAAATGCAGGGTGATCTTGTTCTTTTGTTTTTGTTTACGTTCATGTTTTTGTTTTTTGTTTGTTTACACACTATGTCTCACCATACAGTATAACAAATTATTTTTAAATAAAGGACATCCAGGATACATCAGTCCTCAAACCTCATGCAAACCACTTTGAAGATGAGTGTCCACCATAATCACTAGCATCTTACATAGTATTTAAGCTTATAGAATAGGAGCTGGACATGTTAAAATCTTGGAACTCATTTGGAGTAGTATTTTTATAAATTATAAATGGTCATTTCCCAAGTGTACTATATAGAGCATATTCCTGTAGAGCATTTGATAGAAGATACTAAACTCTTATTTGGAGAACAAAAGTCTATTTTTTTTCATAAATGAAATTTGTGTATATTACTTTTGTTTTTGCAGAGACCATTATAAAACAGAATATGAAAATAAACTACATGATGAACTGGAACAAATCAGATTGAAAACTAATTTGGAAATTGATCAGCTTCGAAGTGCCTCTAGGGAAATGTATGAACGAGAAAACAGGTGAAAAAGAAAGCTTATATGATACTTTATTTTTCTTTGGAGATTATTAGAATTTTATTAAAATTAAATGTCATTTCTGAAATGCCTTTTTTACTACATTAAGGAAAGTGAGTTTGCCTAGTTTGTGATTATCAGCATTAGAGAATTAAATGAATGCTACTCATTGCTGTGGCAGTTGTTTATCTGTATTAACCTTACAGTTACTGTAGCTTTTGAAAGCTTTTCTTCTTCCCTCCTTCCCTCTTTCCCCCCCTCCCTTTCTTCCTTCATCTCTCTAGTCCAGATTGGAAAAAAATGTTTGGGAGATGAACATAGCAAAACCAAGTGACTAGAATGGGTTAAAGAGTGAGAAGCCCCTAATGCCAAATTTCTGTGTTGAATAGCAGCATGAATGCTGATTATAGTGGTTAAAATGTTAGGAGAATACAGGTTTTAATAGGAGACCATGGTAAATTGAGTCTCGTTTGAGTTTACCTGTGGGATGTCCAAATAGAAAAGTTGTTAATACAAGATTCGCAGATCATCAAGAGAAGGATCTGTATGTGAAAGGAATCTGTGGATAGATATGCATCATTATGAATAAGTGCTATTAGTTCTGTGGTTTATTTCTGTTAGGGATTTTATAGGCTTTTGTTGACCTAACCTAAAAATGTATGGGATTGTTTCATGATATAATGCATGATTATTCCTAAACAATCTACATTGTTACATATACTTTGCTATGTAGTAACTTCCTAATTTTTTGATTGTCTATCTAAAATCAAAACAAGGACAAAAAGAATCCTTTAAAATGCATCCTGTCTGGGGCTGGAGAGATGGCTCAGTGGTTCAGAGCACTGGCTGCTCTTACAGAGGACCTAGGTTCCCAGCACCCACATGTCAACTAGCAACCATTCCAAAACTCCAGTTCCAAGGGGGACCCGATGCCCTCTTCTAACCTCCATGGACATTGCATGACATGGGAGCACTTACATACATGCAGACAATACACCCATAGACATAAAATAAAAATAATAAAGTATTTTTAAAATGCATCCCATTTTAACCTAATTTTAGGTGTATTAGCTCCTCCCCTCCAAATTAGTTAGTAGAGATAGGTTGATAGGAGTACGTGGGAAAATAAGTAACAGCTATTTCTAGAAGCAGAAAAGCTTTGCTTGTCTCCAAGGTAATTTTGGCCCCATAGACACAACAAAATGGATAATACCTGTTCTGGTTTCATTTCTGTTATGTGATACAATACCCTGACAAAAAGCAACTTAGGGGGGAAAGGGTTTCTTTTGGCTCACAGTTCCAGGTTACAGTTCATCATTGCCAAGTAGGCAGACCAGGAACCAGAAACAACTAGTCACATTCACTGTTAAGAACAAAGATAGAATAAATGAATGCATGCTTAGTACTCATCTACTCATCTACAGTCCAGAGCCCCAAACCAGGGAACAGTGCCACCCATTTTCAGGCTTGGTCTTCCCATATCAGTTAAGGCAGCCAAGACAGTCCCCCACTCATATGCCACAGCCAACCTGATCTAGACAGTATCTCATTGAGACACTTCCCAGGTGAGTCTAGGTTATGTCAAGTTGATAATTAAAACTAACCATCACACCACCTAATCAGAATGCTGGAATTGGTGCTGCCCTGGGTGCTCTATCCAACCAAAAGACTCAGAATTGATCATATAGATATTAACATTAGAGTGGACAGTTGCCACCAGATGGCACCAAACTGTAGGTAGCCCAAGCTGGTACCAACACAGGGACTCTTGTGAAGTAGCCAGTTGTACAAGTTTACCTTTGTTATTTTACTTCACAGTAATCTGTCCCTGTATTTTATGTGACTGAATCTTCCTTCTGGCAGATCTGAAATGTGGTTATAGCTTGACCCTTCAGTCCTTTACAATGTAAAAATAAATAGCATGTTCTTTTGAAGTCTTTTAACTTAAAATAGGCAAAAATGGGGTTTAGCAGTTTTTATAAAGAATAAAATTCAGGGACTAGAGAGATGGCTCAGCTGATAAGAGCACAGGCTGCTGTTGTAGAGGACCCAGGTTTGTTTCCCAGCACCCACATGACAGCTAACAACCATGTGTAACTCCAGTTCCAGGGGATCCGACACACTCTTCTGGCCTCCATGGGCATTGCATGACACAGGTGCACTTAGACATATGCAGGCAATACACTAGTATATAAAATAAAAT